CCGGGGACCCCCAACATCCCCCCAAGGGGTATCTGCGGCTTAGCTTTGGGGTCCTGCAAGATCCAGACATTCACCCCGCTACCCCCCAGGAAAAAACAACCCACAACCAACCACGAGTTTTGCGACGAGCTTCTTCCTGCCGAGAACCCGCCCGATGGGGCGGGGCGATCCTCTTTCTTTTCCCTTTCCTCCTTTATCCCCTCCCTTTCCTCCCTCCTCCTTTTTACGTGCTCCGTCCGAGCGGCCGCACGCGTGGAGCTCTCGGGTGGGTGAGCGGGGGGGGACAGAGTGGGAAAGGGGGGAGAGGGGGAAGAGAGGGACTGGGACCCCCAAAGGGAGCGCGAGGGGCGGTGGGTCACCCCCAGATGGAGCCGGGAAGGAGCCGGGGTTTGGAGGGACGATGCGAAAGGGACGGGAGAGGGGGGATAAGGGGAGGTGGGACAGCGGGAAAGGGGGTCCCTCGGGGTCCCTTGGTGTCCCCATCCCTTGGGCCCTGGAGAGGGGGGAGCCTGGAGAGAGGGACCCCGAGCCCCCTGTGCCGAGCCCGCGGTGGGGGCCGCGCTGTTGGTTGTGAATTCCCGCCGGGATCAACAAAGCCCCGCACACGTGGCCGCAGCTCTTGTGTTTTCTCGTGGGCAGCACTCGCAGGAGCTCCCCCCACACTGCCCAAGCGCTGCCAGGCGCTGCTGCCAAGGCCCAGCAGAGCCCCCCGATCCCTCCAGTGCCCCCCAGAGCTGCGTGCGGGGGGTGGGAGAGAAGAGGAGAGCCGGGCTGGGCCCGGGGCAAGGCCGGGAAGGGGCAAGGAATGGCCCCGGGGCTGGGCTGGCGTTGGTGCTGCCGCGGGGCTGGGCCGGAGCTGGAAAACAGGGTCGGGAGCGAGAGGAGAGAGAAAGTGCTGCGGGACTGCAGAGCCGAGCCCCGGCTGGCTGGGGGGGCTCTGGGTTTGGGGGGTTTGGGGTTGTTTTTTGAGGGAGAGGATGTTTGGATCTTGCAGGCGCCCAAAGCTGAGGCGCAGGTGAGCCCTGGGGGGATGTTGGGGGTCCCCGGGAGGTGTTTTTGGGGGTGCCGGCGGTGGGCGGGGGGATGCGGGTCCCCCCCGCGCTGGGGGTTGGTGTTCCTGGGTCAGGCCCTTCATTGTCAGCCCGGAGCACGGAGAGGGGGGACCCCTGGGAGCCCGAAACGGGGAGCCCAGAGAGGGGGAACCCTCAGGACCCCAAAGTGGAGAGAGCAGAGAGGGGCAACTCGTGGCAGGGTTATTTTGGGCTGGGTCGTGGGGGTGCTGGGGAAGGGGTTCCCGGGGGTGCCAGGGCCAAGGAAAGCTGGGTACACAGATTGGAGAGGGAGGATGGAGAGCCAAGGGGGATCCAGAGGTCCTTGGTGTCAGGAAAAGGGGGGTTCAGCAGGTAGGGAGACAGAGAATGGCAGGAAAGAGGGTGCAGGGGGCTATTGATGCAGGATTAGGGGATGCAGGGGGTCCTTGTGGCCAGGAGTGTGGGCTCAAGGGGGCTCCAAAATCAAGGAAAAAGGGGGAATGTAGGGACTAGCACTAGGCTTGGTCTAGAGGGTCCCTGTGTCCAGGAAAGGGGGGTCCAGGGGCCTCCAGTGTCAAGGAAAGGTGGTTCATTGGGTGGGGAGACCCGGGATGTCCCAGCAGGGGGTTCAAGGGGTCCTGAGTGTTGAGGAAAGGGGGAGTTGGGGACTGGGAGAGGCAGGACTGGGGGTCCAGGGGGTGCCAAGGTCAAGGCAAAGGGAGTGTGGATCCTGGGAGAGGTGGGATGGCCGGGGAAGGGGGTGCAGGGGGTCCTGGTCCCAGATAAGGGGCTGCAGGGAGGGTCTCAGTGTACAAGAATGGAGGTTTCAGGGAGTCCCTGGGACCCCCCAGGACCCCCCTGCAGGAAGCACTGGGAGTGGGGAACTGGGGAGACCCGGAGATTTGGGGGCTGGGGTGGTCCCAAGGTGAAGGAAAGGGGCGAACTGGGAGAGCCGGAAAGGGGCTCCAGGGGGTGCTGGGTGAAGGAAAGGGAGGCTGGGGGTGAGGTGACCTGGGATGGCCGGGAATGGGGGCTAAGGAAAAGGGGGATCCAAGGGCTGGGAGAGGCGGGATGACCGGGAAAGGGGAGGCAGGGGGGTCCTGGAATCAAAGAAAGGGGGGTCTGGAGGCTGGAAAACCAGCAGTGGCCTGGCAGGGGGTCCCAGTGCCTGGGAAAAAGGGGTGTAAGGGGATCCCAATAATAATAGGGAAGAGCAGGAGGAAACAATGGGATGAGGCTCCAAAGTGCTGATTTCCAGCAGGGACAGGGCAGGGAAGTGCCCTCAGGGAATGGGATCCCAGAGCAGATCTGCTGATCAGGGCCAGAATAGGAACTGGGAACAAGGATTTTGGGAATGCAGAGCAGCAGGAGGGGGGTTGCCCTGCCCATCCTGAGCTTCCCAGAGCCCAGTAACTCCCAGTATGAGCCCAGTCACCTCCATCATGAGCCCAGTTGTTCCCACTATATCCCACTTACCCATAACATGGTGCTAATTGGTGTCAGTGTAGTGCCAGTAACTCCCAGTGTGAGCCCAGTATGATCCCAGTCTCCCTCAGCAGGGTGCCAGACACTGCCAGATGCCCCCAGTGTAGACCCAGTCACTCCCAGTTGATCCCAGTTGCTGCCAGTGTGGTCCCACTCCCCCCCAGTATGGTTCCAGAGACTCCCAGTGTGGCCCAGTTTCTCCCAGTATGATTCCAGCTGCCCCAACTGTGGTCCCAGTCCCCCCAGCATGGTTCCAGTATCTTCCAGTTGATGTCCCAGTTACCCCCAGCATGGTCCCAATTGCCCCCAGCATGGTCACAATTGCCCCCAGCATGGTCCCAATTGCCCCCAGCCTGCTCTTTGTCCCTACCAGTATGATCCCAGTTGCCCCCAGCATGGTCCCAGTTACACCCAGGTGCTTCTAGTATAATCCCAAGCAGTCCCAGTAGGACCCAGTCTCTCCCAGCATAGTCCCAGTCACCCCCAGTATGGTTACAGACACTCCCAGCATGATCCCAGTGTAACCCAGTTTCTCCCAGTACAATCTCAGGATGATCCCAGTGTAGCCCAGTCTCTCCCAGTACGATCTCAGGATGATCCCAGTGTGTCCCAGTGGCTCCCAGGATGAGCCCAAAGCTCCTGGAACACCTAGAGGCCCCACCCAGAGGAGGGTCCCTGCAGGTTCCGTGGTTGCAGAAGAGCCCCAAGGAGCCGAGGTCCCCCCAGAACCCCCCCAGGCAGCAGAAGGTGGTGACAACTCTCCAGCCCGGGGTCCTGGGAGCACTGGGGGGGTCTCCAGCCTGACCCCCAGTAAGGGGCTCCCACAACTCCTCATGCTGCCCCCAAAATCCCTGGGGTTCCCCCATTATCCGTGTCTGCATTTTCCCCTCCAATATCTCCAGGCTCCTGAGATGAGCCCAAAGGAGTGGAAGTGCTCACCCAGTGGGAGCCCAAAGCCCAAATTTTGATCTGCAGCCACCCCTTTTGCCTCATTTCCTGTTCTTTTGGCCTTCCTGGGATGCCCCCAGGGGGTGGAAGCAGCCCAGAGCCCAGCACTGCCCCATCCCGACCTGCCCCAGTTCCATCCCTGTTCCTCCAGCAGGATGGGATGGGTTTGGGGGGAAGGGGTGACCAAGAGTGGGTGCTGGTCATGCAGGGAGGAGGAGAAGGGATGGAGGAGGAGGAGGGATGGAGGAGGAGGAGGGGAAGGAAGAGGAGCCTCAGAGTGGGGAGAGCAGAGAGGAGCTATCCTGGAGCTGGGGGACACCCGAACCCTGAAAGAGGGTCCTAGAGAGGGGGTACCCTTGAGACCCCTAAAACACTGAAGTGGAAGCCTGGAGAGGAGGAGCCCTTAGAGCCCCGACAGTGCAGACGGAGGGAGCCTGGAGAAAGGGGAAGCCTGGAGAAGGGGAGCCTTGGCAGCTAGGGGAGGGAGAAGAGTGGAGAGGGGGGAGTCTCAGAACCCTGAAGAGCCCAGAGAGGGGAGAACCTGGAAAGGGGGGAGCCCCAGGACCCCCACCAGCCTGGAGGGGAGGAACCCAGAGAGGGGGAAGCCCTAGGGTCCAAGAAACCCTGAGCAGAGTCAGGGAGAAGGGACCCTGTGACTCTCCCAACCCCTGGTATCCCTAAGTGAGGGTACCCTGGATAGGGAGGTCCCCCAGAACCCTGAAGTTGGGAGATGGGGGAGCCTTGGATTCCTGGGGACCCCCAGCAGCCTGGAGAGGGCAGGGACCCCGTAGAGGGGAGACCCCAAATACACACGGGACTCACAGCAGCTTGGAAAGGGGGGACCTCCAGAATCCCAAAGTGGAGAGAAAGTGGGTTTTTTTTGGGCCAAATCTTGGTGTTTTGAAGGTTTTTATGGTCCCAGGATGGCCGGTGAGTTCTAGAGATGGGCTTGGGCAGGAGGAACCCCCAAGCCAACGCGCTCAGCCCTTGTTTCCTTCCCAGCAGAATTTGTCCTTCTCAAAGCTTGGCTGGATGGAGGAGGAGGCTGCGAGGAAGAGGAGAAACCCACGGGCCCCCCAGGCAGGTGAGGAGGAAGTCAGTGCCCTTTTAACTCTGTCTTGTGGTTCCTGTGGCAGCCGAGCATCACCCCCAGCTGCAGGACAACCCCGCTGGCGCCGCCGTCCTGCCAGGGCTGGACTGGGGGATGTCCTTGGCCTTCCCTCTGGGCCAGAGGCAAGTCCCCTGCCTGTCCTTCTTCCTTCCTGCCCCAGGCCCCGAGCTGAGGATGGAGAGTACGGAGGACAAATCCCCCAGCAGAGCCTGGTGGGAGATGCTGTTTTGAAGGGCTCCCCGGCGCAGGAAGGCAGCGGGGAGGAAAAGGCCCGGAGATGTCCCCGGAGGAGGGGCTGCAAAGCCAGCCCAGGGAGCTCTGAGGAGGAAAGACCCGTCCTGTACCGGGAAGGTGACCGGAGCTTGAGCCGGAGCTCCGAGCTGGTGGTCCCTGAGAAACCTCCCAGCAGGGAGAAGCCCTTCAGGAAGAGCTCCCACCTCCTCAAGCACCAGCACATCCACACTGGGGAACGGCCCTACTCGTGTAGGGAATGTGGGAAGAGCTTCAGGCACAGCTCCAACCTCCGCACCCACCAGCTCATCCACACCAGGGAACGACCCTACAAGTGCTTGCAATGTGGGAAGAGGTTTCAACGCAACTCACATCTGCTCAGGCATGAGCAGACACACACAGGGGAGAGGCCCTTCCACTGCACCGACTGCGGGAAGGGCTTCAAACGCAACTCCCACCTCATCAGGCACTGGCAAATCCACACCGGGGAGAGACCCTGCAAGTGTGGGGAGTGTGGGAAGAGCTTCAGGGACAGCTCCCGGCTCCTCACCCACCAGCGCATCCACACTGGGGAACAGCCCTACTCGTGTAGGGAATGTGGGAAGAGCTTCAGGCACAACTCCAATCTCCGCACCCACCAGCTCATCCACACCATGGAACGACCCTACAAGTGCTTGCAATGTGGGAAGAGGTTTCAACGCAACTCACATCTGCTCAGGCATGAGCAGACACACACAGGGGAGAGGCCCTTCCACTGCACCGACTGCGGGAAGGGCTTCAAATGCAACTCCCACCTCATCAGGCACTGGCAAATCCACACCGGGGAGAGACCCTGCAAGTGTGGGGAGTGTGGGAAGAGCTTCAGGGACAGCTCCAGTCTCCTCACCCACCAGCGCATCCACACTGGGGAACAGCCCTACTCGTGTAGGAAATGTGGGAAGAGCTTCAGGCACATCTCCAACCTCCGCACCCACCAGCTCATCCACACCAGGGAACGACCCTACAAGTGCTTGCAATGTGGGAAGAGGTTTCAACGCAACTCGCATCTGCTCAGTCATGAGCAGACACACACAGGGGAGAGACCCTTCCACTGCACTGAGTGCGGGAAGGGCTTCAAATGCAACTCCCACCTCATCAGGCACTGGCAAATCCACACCGGGGAGAGACCCTGCAAGTGTGGGGAGTGTGGGAAGAGCTTCAGGGACAGCTCCAGTCTCCTCACCCACCAGCGCATCCACACTGGGGAACAGCCCTACTCTTGTAGGAAATGTGGGAAGAGCTTCAGGCAAAACTCCAACCTCCGCACCCACCAGCTCATCCACACCAGGGAACGACCCTACAAGTGCTTGCAATGTGGGAAGAGGTTTCAACGCAACTCGGATCTCCTCAGGCATGAGCAGACACACACAGGGGAGAGACCCTTCCACTGCACTGAGTGCGGGAAGGGCTTCAAACGCAACTCCCACCTTGTCACCCACCAGCGCATCCACACCGGGGAGAGGCCCTACAAGTGTGGGGAGTGTGGGAAGAGCTTCACCCACAGCTCTACCATGACCAAACATGAACGGACCCACCAGTAAGGGAAGCCCCACGAGTTCCCTGACTGCGGGAAGAGCTTTGGCTGCTGCTCCCACCTCGAATGACTCCCCTGATGGTGACGCAACCCCTGGAGTCCAGTGACTGTCAGTCCATCCCTTTCCACCAGAAAGGGCCAGTCCTCTTTCCCAGGAGCAGGTTCTTCCAACAGAACCCTACTTGGGGGGTGTGTGGAGATTCCTGCCTTGACTGGGACCCCCCAAGGTCACTGCTGGAGATTGAGAGCAGAGATCTCCGCATGAGTGTTGGTCTCGGGGAGTTCCATCCATCTCTAGTTAATAATTCTTGCTTTGGTGCCAGCTTGAGTAGAATTGCTTCAACAATTGCTTTAGTGTAGAGCACTGTCCTGTCTTATTCTGTACTACTGGTAGTTTTAGTGTTTGAATTCTGATGAAGATCTTTTGTCTGATCATTTGTAACCCTAAAGAATTCATTTCTGTCAGTAGATGTGATTTGCCATCCTTAAAACCTGGGGGACAAAAGTGGTTCAGTCCCACCTCTGTAATTCCTCTAAACTGAAAGTGTTGGCATAAGCCAAGGCTGAGATTGGATCCAACAGCCCCCATCATCCCACAGTAGGTTGGGAGCTAAAGGGGCCACTCTGCTTTCCCAGTACCCCTGAGCCCATAAACCCCCATGGGGCCATTGGACCTGCCAGACAACCCCCCCCTTTTCCACCCTTCTCCCTGTTCCTTCCACTTTTCCATGGTCCTCTCAATCCACAGCCCCTCACAGATCATTCTAGGGGTCCCAACCCCCACATTTTTCCCTCCTCTCCGACCCCTTCCCCATCATCCCCCCAATCCCCAGCCCCCTCATGCTCAATTTGGGGGTTCCTCCCTGCCCTTTCCCCACCCTTCTGACCTCTCCCACCCATTTCTCATGAACCTCAGTGCTCCTCACCCTCCACTTTTTGGGGGTCCCACTCCCCTCCCACTCAGCTTGGGGTCCCACTGTTGCGGGTCGAGGTGGGACACAACACAAACCCTTATGGATCCAGAGGCTGGAACACTTTATTGCACGATGTTTGCTACTTTTATACACTTTTAGGCTACACGTGTTAACTCTTTATTGGTCCCCAAGTTACATAAATATCCCTCCATTGGCCACTAACAACATTATATAACTCTGCTCACTGCGCATGTCAGTCAACTCTGACTCAACACATTTTACTGGAAAACCATATTGTTACATCTTCCGGGTCCAGGCGTAATTCTCCCCTGAACAAAGGTTCCTACTTAGCTTTAACTCCTCCAGAATCCCCCAGGCCAGCTGGGGGAAAACCACCACAATTCCCCCTGTTTTTGTATTAAAGAGACTGCCAACGAGTGTCATCCATTGCGGGGCCCCTTGCAAGGGAGACACAAACCACGGCAATATCGATAATACAAAAACAACTAAACGAACAGGCAAGAGTAACAGCCCAGACAGTGCATTCGTTGTCAGTCCATGGCAGTAGCATTCAGTTGTCGAGTACGGTCATAGATGGATTTCACGCAACTTGTGGGTGTGGTTCATTCAACAAAGGGCAGACACATCAAGCAGGTACCCAGTGCAGTCCTTCATCTGTGGAAACACAAGCATACCCTCTACCCCAAGTTAATAGTTCGCACGGTTGAGACCACTGCCCTGTTTTCAAATCTTTTACCCTGACTTTCACCCCAGGGGAGACAGGTGTGAACTTTTGTAAGGAGCCAAAATGCCGGACCATGGGTGGATCCTGCTGGTCCTCCGCGATGTTAACAAAATTGAGCACATAGGTAGCCTTAGCGAGGCGAGCTTCAGGGGTTTCCCCAGACATTCCCACCTTCTGTTTTTGTAATTGACACTGATACCTTGGAGTTTTGATGTTTTAATTTTTTTTGTTTTTGTAGACCTTAGAAGTAGTTATGTAGTAAATGTAGATTTTAGAGTAGCAGCATATTATCCCTTTACCCTTAACACACCAGCTGAAACCCATGTTACCCATTCCCATATCAATTCCCTAAATTCCATAGCCTGTTTAGTCTCTTTTTCAAGGTAGAATTGTAGAAGAACACCCTAACCCTACGGAACAAGATATAGCCATAGACCCAACAACCTTCAGGCCTAGAATTCTGGAAGGCCTCCAAGGACATTATGTGCTCTGAGGAAGATGAAGATGAAGAAGAGGGGGTCCCAAAACGCCCCCAGACCAAATTCCCAAGAGATGTGGCGGGGGCAGAACCTGGGTGGTGGCTGGACTGGATTGGGTAAAAATCATTATAAAAACTGTGGACATCTGTATTTCGAGAGCGCGCTGGGGTATTCCAGAAAGCCTGGGGGCTCATTAAAACTTTTGTATCCTTATCTTATCTCCTACCTAATTTGGCTTGGAGTCTTTTTTTCCCCACAGCCATTTAGGCAACAACGCTTAAGGATACCATGTGCGCGTTCCACAATACCTTGACCCTGGGGAGAGTGAGGAATACCAGTGACGTGAGAAATTCCCCACATTTGGAGAAAAGATTGCACCCGGGAAGAGACATAAGCAGGGCCATTATCAGTCTTGATTTGGTGTGGCACTCCACATGTAGAAAAGGCCCACAGCCAATGGCGAATAACATCCCGGGCAGTTTCACCTGCATGGGCAGTAGCGACTATAATGGAGGAGAAGGTATCCACAGATACATGTACGCATTTCAAACGGCCAAATTCTGCAATGTGGGTCACATCAGTTTGCCAAATCTGTAAAGCTTGCAGCCCTCTCGGGTTAGTGCCATAGAAGGCAGGTACCGATTGACCTTGACAGTCAGGGCATGCAGCAATAATGGAGCGGGCTTCAGCAGACGTCAAATGAAACTGCCGTTCCAAGGCACGCCGGCTTTGATGAAGAAATTGATGTGAAGTGATTGCCTGCTGACAAAGATCGGGCACTGGGCCCAAAGCGGCTGGTGAAACAAGGCGATCTGCGCGAGCATTCCCCGTGGCGATAAAACCCGGCAAAGTGGTGTGACTGCGCACATGTAAGATATAATAAGAATTAGTACGTTTTTGAATCGTTTCCCACAGCAGACGAAGGACCCCAAACGAGGGCATTTGAAACCTCTCGAAGGACCGCTTTATCCAAGTGTCGAACTAAGCCAGCCACATATGCAGAATCAGTGACTATATTGAGGGGGCAGGAAAAATGCTGAAATGCAATAGTAACTGCGCGTAATTTGACGACCTGGGGTGAACCTTCACGGAGTTCAACAATGTGTTGCCAACTGTGACCATCATACCAAGTCACAGCCGCCTTGTTTGTCTTTCCGGACCCATCAGTAAATACAGTGGGTCCAGGCACAGGCATCATGCAAGAAAGCAGCTTCTGACTTAACAAAACTTGTTCGTGCAATTTGCACAGGGGGTGGGAGGGCAGATGGTACTCAATAGTACCAGTATAATTGATCAATGCCGCTTGTAAAGCGAAACTGTTGGCCATGCACCATTCAAAATAGTCTAGTTGCACAGGAACTATGATGACCTCAGGGTCACGTGCTCTGACAATTAGCTGCGCCAAAAGCTCAAACAAAACAGGAGCTGTTTTCTTGGAGCACACTGACAAGAAAAGCCATTCTAGCACATGCAGGGGATCTTGCCAGGCAGGGTTCCATTGCACAAGGAACCATGCTTTCAATAAGAATATACATGTGAATTGCAACATCAGTGGCAATTCTCCATAAATGTTTAGTTTGCATGCACTGTTCCACCAAAGCAATAACTTGCTTTGCTTGGGGGGTCAATTTCCGAGGAGCTCGAAGGTCTGAATCGCCTTTAAGATCAATTAAAGGCTGAATTTGGGAGGGGTCAGGCCAAGGTAGGGACATAACCAATTTATAGTCCCTGCCAATTTTTGGACATCATTCAAAGTTCTAATTTTTGTATCCAATTTGAGGGCCTGTGGTTGAACGGTACGTTCGAGTACCTTCATGCCAAGGTAAAACCATGGCTGAGCACGCTGTACTTTCTCAGGAGCCACAATCAAACCATAATGTTTCAGAGAAGCATGAGTGTTGGACTCCATGGCAGACAGCATCTCACTGGAAGGAACTGCTAGAAGGATATCATCCATGTAATGGTAACAATACCCTTCTGGATAGTTTTCTTACCATTGACAAATAGTGGGTGAATTTTTCATGCCCTGTGGCAAAAACTTCCAGTGATACCGTTTGGAAGGCTCAGCATGGTTTACCGAAGGAACAGTAAATGCAAACTTTTCCTTATCGTTCACATGTAGAGGAATGGTAAAGAAGCAGTCTTTCAAGTCAATGATGACGACAGGCCAATTCATGGGAATCATTGTCGCCGAAGGTAACCCTGGCTGCAATGCTCCCATGGTAGCCATCACCTCATTGACTCGACGTAAATCCTGCAGGAGCCTCCATTTCCCTGACTTCTTCTTTATGACAAACACAGGAGTGTTCCATGGACTGTGTGATGGTTCAATATGACCTGCTTCCAACTGTTCTTGAACTCAAGTGTGCAGGGTGGTAAGTTTCTTTTTGTTAAGGGGCCACTGTTCAACCCACACAGGCTTTTCTGATAACCATTTTAAAGCTACTGTGGGTTGTCTCACACCCTGCATCACAGTGACCCCTAGGGAAAATCCGTAGTGATACGGACTCCCCACTGAGAAAGGCAGTCCCGTCCCCACAAGTTCAAAGGTGCTGCGACCACATATGGCCAGAGGGTGGCAGCTTGACCCTCCGGGTTGGTGATGAGCACTGGTTTAGCCGCAAGACACCCGGTGGAAGTACCTCCCAGATCTATAACAGCCTGAGAGGCCGGGACCAAGGGCCAAGAAGCAGGCCAGTCCTTTGGGGAAATGATGGTAATGTCCGCACCAGTGTCCAACAAGCCAGATACCTTTGCCGTAGCGGGAGACGCGTGTGCCATACTCAGCACGCAGGTCATTTGAGGCCGATGGTCCTTCACAGTCGTTGTCCAATGGACTTGAGGAACTCCAGTGGATCCAAATCCTCCTGTGCCTCGGGTGACATCTTTTGTCCTAGGAACACAGCTCATAAAGGGTATAAGTTGAGCAATG